TGTGCTGAGGGTACAGCTGTATTACTAAGCGGGACGGGACTACAATGCGAGTAAATCACTCGCATATGCGACTAAATCTTTACTTTGGGCGACTAGATGATGTCTAATATTAGCCAATGGCTAATAAATTCTTAGATCTTGCTCGCCAATGTGTGAGTTTAAGTTTATCACAGATATATTTTCATTCGTCAAACACTCTGACTGAGCACTTCAGACTTTCGCTCTCCGTCAAGCGATCTGTGCTTTCAGTTCATCTGAATGGCAGAAGCGCACCTGTATTTGACGTACTGTAAACTCCAGTGTAACGGCGCACGACTCGCTGTCGCTTTATCTCACACAAACGCAAAGAAAGAGACAGAGTGAGAGTCTTACATAACATGCAGAATTGACGCGTTACATGTAAACAATATTCTTTGTTGCATTTTCTTGTCAAAATAACAGCATTCCTTTGGAGTCTTCAGCTTTTAAGAACTGCCGGGTTCTCCGGTAGTGGGCGGGGCTAATGCACAAATGGCAATCACATTGGCTGGCGCTAACCTATTATCTTCCGTTTTGATTTCAGCAAATCAATTTGAGCGAACACAGACAACGTGATTATTATATTCATGAACCCAGCAGCTCATTAATCCTCAGTACATTTTACATTGTTATTAGTAGTAGAATTCGTAGTAGTATTGTTATCTTATCAGTATTAGTGTTAGTTTTTTACTTTTTTTTTTTATATAAACACTAAATGACAAACAATATTTTAAGCACCACCACCAGTAAGTTCAGTTAAAATTTAAAATTTAACTTTAAAAGTCAATCTACTGCAATATTTTCTCTCTCAATCAGTAAAAAATGTGGTTAACACCCGGTCATGGATGAAAAAAAATTAAAAATACAGTCATATACTGTGAAACCGGTATCATTTTGAAAAATACTGTGATATAAATTTTTGGTCATACTGCCCAGCAGTAGTATATATAGATGTCTTTCTGTGGTTTAAATAAAATACCTTCTGATGTTCATTCATGTTTATTTTGTGCTTTAACTAGCAAATATGAATAGATGATCCGTTCATGTGCTGCTTGAACTGAGGCTCTACAGTGATCTATCGCGACACATTCAAGAGCAACAAAACGGTATTTATTGTTTGAATTTCTTTAAAGATAGATAGATAGATAGATAGATAGATAGATCTGCTATTGGACATCGGGATGAATCCAAAAAGAAAGTGGTTTTGGGTCTCCGAACTCCGAAGTAATAGAGAACTGCCTGTGAGCATCACACTATGTTTAGTCTTTCAGAGAGTGGAGCTTCAACACTGAATCAACATGCAAGTGAGCCAAAAATATCATGCCTAAATTTGGTAGGATCAAAAAACCTTGCAGCTAAACTAGTTGTTCTGTTTTTACTTAGCTCTAGAGACCTGTATATGGTAAAACAAAGAAACAGATTATCATCCCTACCACAAATACAGCATGCAGTCGATATCTATTAACTTTAATGAGCTCAACTAATCCAGCCTTCAATAACAATAGGTACTTACAAGCTAATGCACTCATTAAAAGCAGGCCAAACAGGTCTTTACCATGGCACAGGGCCCTTACATCTTGTGAGCTCCTGTTAAGAACTATTGTGAGTCAGGAATTGCCCCACCTGAACCTGTCTCATCATGTGACTTCAGGAAACAAGCTGTCAAGCCTAAGAGGACATCCTGCCCAGCTATTTAAACATCATACAAATATAATTCTTTCATTAGGAGATTAAAACATTACTGTAAACCTAATGAGCCATAGCGTCTGGTCTATTTTACATGATTTCCAGGTGAAACATAATTAGGTTGCAAAAGAAAGACTTTGAAAGACCAAGAATAACATTGAAAAACATATTTTTGCACAACTAGCAACTAGTACTGCTAGTGCAGGCGATTCATTTTTGCAGTTTAACAGCATTTAACAATTAAACTCCGCACACCTGACGACAATAGATAGGTGCGTTGGAGGCAAAGACCAACCAGGTCAAAAAACTAAAAAGCAAAAAACAAATCCCGCACACTATCTGTGCAAAAAATATCAAAATATTTATTGACTACGTTTCGGTCGCATGACCTTCATCAGGAATTTTTTTAACATGACAACACAAAATAGGGTGTACTTTGTGATGTCATGTTTAAAAAATTCCTGATGAAGGTCATGCGACTGAAACGTAGTCAATAAATATTTTGATATTTTTTGCATAGTGTCAAGCGTTAGATTTGTTTTTTGCGTTTTAGTTTAACAGCATTAAAAATATTTAATACAGTTAACATATGGGCGGAAGTAGGGTTGGCCACCCCACTTACAACTGCTGCTTCAGTCTCTTTTTTTTCTTGACAAGAATTGCATTTATTTAAGATGCAGAACGTCTTTACGACCACATCAAACAGGATTTTTTCAGACGCGCACTCCACTTCGCATCAGCGACAGCTGCTAGTTAAACGGTACAGGTAACATGGCAGCTTCAGTAAAACAACAATGAACTGCGGTCATATGAGATGTTGTCAGGCCATATGTCAGTAAAAAAAACACATTTTCCGATCCTGTCAGTGTTATACTGTGCTCGTTGCACGTGCTCTTCAATTGCACATACAAATACGGCGGTGCACGCTGTAGCCTGTATCATATCATATTAAAACATGCGTGTCAGATCCGCATCACGTTCAGCAGCGGCAGCTCTTAATCGCGATTCATTTCAGAAAAAAATGTTTATTGACTGACAGCACTATTATTTAGCAACACTGAATCATAACTTGACACCTTTTCAGAATATGCACAATGTAATGCACAAATGACATAGTACCGTCATGCATTGACCATTTTAAAATACAATGGGCCCAAAACATATTTGGACATTTAGGCTACACTTAGGCTACGCATATGACTGTCACATTACATAATAAAAAAATCATGTGGCATTTATTGTAAAGAAATATAGCACAAATGTTTCACAAAAAATGCATTTAGTAGGTTTTAAATTATCAAACAACAGATATACTGTTCAAAATTAAAAAGGTAAAATTAAAGGTAATCAGAAATAGTTGCAAATTTTTTTTTATTATTTCTGAGAAAAGGTTGAGCATCATTCGTTTAAAAGTTTAAATTGGTAAGACCTTTTATTTAATGCAATGATATTCAGACACTTTAAGTGACTGCATCTTTTATGGAGTCATTGTACTTTGTGTCATAATAAAACATGTTTCGTTTCCAGGAGGTGTGAAACCATTAGAATGCAATGACATATGAAACTGGGCATTTGACTGCTGTGTTTGACTGATATTTGGCAAAAATGGGCATGGTGTGTTCAATGAGGTATATCTCTAACATAAGCCAGCACCACTTAATCTTTAAAATAACACTAAAAATGTGCCTATTTCAACACTGGATATAAACACAACAAATTACAGCATATATAAATATCACTCAGCGAGCTCCTTAAAGGTAAGAATAACTATGTAGTTTGCCAGAAAGAATTCACGCCAACATTTTACACTTTCAGAAACTTAGGAGGTTTGTGACGCCTTCATAAATGAAGATGGAAGACACCAAGGCCTAGGGGAACCTAACCTATACATCTTTATGCAATATTTTGTAACTACACTTAATAACCCCAAATTGTCTACAGACACATGAACATGATGCCAATACAATAATGGCACCTAAGTCTAAGAGGGTGCAAAACTACAGAATACAAGACCCCCAAGAATATTTATACATGTATAAAAAAAGCATTCTTTTTATTTTATATTTAAAAATATATACCGGAACCTAGGTTACTATATATGCCAGTGGCTGCTGCACCTAATCTGCATCCCATGAAGAAAGGCATATGATGTTACCATGGTGACCCTCTCCACTGCTGTGGATGTGCAAGTCTGTGTTCTCAGCAGCACAGCAGTCAGCTCAATCTAATTTGTGTTTCTAGGTGTGGCTTCAAACCCCCAGCCATGCTCATTCTTTGTTTAGCCTAGATCCATTCCAACATGACTTCATTTCACACTGATTCACCCTTTATTGTATCAGTGTTTACTTGGCAATAAACCCAGACATACGCCTCCATAGTGACAGCACTGCAAAGATTACCTTATTCATCACTGCAGAATTAATGCTACTCTTTATTTGTTCTGAAATACATGCCTGATAGGTTTATGACTGCATATCAGTGTTAAACTAAAACATTTTAATAAGTCTCTAAACTGTAAATGAATGAACATATCTGGTTAACAGCTTGTTTTCCATCATAACACCCCATTCTGAATTAAGTTAAAGCAATAGTTCACTCGAAAAAATTAAAATTCTGTCATCATTTACTCACGCTCAATAGGTCATTCCAAACCTTTATGTATTTCTTTATTCTGTGGCACAAAAAAAAAGAACTTTTTTGTCCATTCAATAAAAGTGAGTGGGGTCCAAAGTTGATTTGGGCTCTTCTAACTTTAATTGTATAGGCAAATACAATTAAAACATTCTTCAAAATATCCTCTTTTGTGCTCTGCAGAAGACACTAAGTCATACAAGTCTGGACCGATCTGGAATTTGAATTTTTGAGTGAACTATTCCTTAGCATTAATGCAGACATGTAGTGGCAATAAGAAATTATGGTCACAAACGGTATTAGAAACAAGACCTGGAAAGGGTCAGAACTAGGGCTGCACGATTAATCGCATGCGATATTTAACGCGCATCTTATCAGTAAAGCCGGTTCTGTAATCAGCGGTAAATCTCCATCACCTGCGTGCTTTCACATTGAGCAGCATTAACTACACAGAGCCGTTGTTCACTGACGAGCTGCGCTAAACCACGTTCATATTCGCGCGATTTTTTGCGCAGCTCATCAGTGAACAACAGCTCTGTGTAGTTAATGCTGCTCAATGTGAAAGCACGCAGGTGATGGAGATTTACCGCTGATTACAGAACCGGCTTTACTGATGTATTAGGAACAACGCATGATATCAAGCACAATCAAATCTGAACACTAACCTGGAAAGGAATGTGGATTGGGGGACCCTCTCTTCAGGCACTTGGAACACAGGACATGCACAGAATAGTGAAGGCCAGGCCATTCCTGCAGAAGAACATTTAACTCCTCCACTAAGGGAATAATGGCTTTCCACGTGCTCCGTGAGGGCCGGTAACTCACCGTCACAGGCACTTTACCCCGATAGGCAAAGATATGATGCTTTCCATCGGACCGTTGCACCACGTGGCTGTTGATTTGCACGCTATACCGTGCAAAAAGTCCAAGAGGGGTGAAGAAAGGAAACCTGTATTCAATCTGCAGCTGCTCAACTGAGAAGAACTGACCAGGGATCGACGACCCCCCACTGGCCGAGGCCTCAGGATGGGGCTCCTCGTTGCTGACCTGACTGGGAAACTTATACCAGACGATGGCCCCATTAAGTGGCTTGCTTGCAGCTGCTCAACCGAGAAGAACTGACCAGGGATCGACGAGCCCCCGCTGGCCGATGCCTCAGGATGGGGCTCCTCGTTGCTGACCTGACTGGGAAACTTATACCAGACGGTGGCCCCATTAAGCGGCTTGCTGCGAGGTTTGTTGACACAGTAGCAAACGCCCATCTTTTCCAGCAGTTCCATGATCAGGTGCAAGTCCTGCTGTGTCTGGACCAGGGGCTTAAGCAGCAATCGAATCACATTTGACGGCAGCAAGCCATGTAACAGAAACCCCTCCACGTGACCGTGCATCTGTGTAGACCTGATGCTATCTCCATCGTCTCCTTCAGCCTGTAGTTTCTCAAGCATTGCAGCGAGGTCTCTCTGAAAAAACACATTCAAGATGGCTATAAACCGGGGTAGATTGTGGAAGACGTATTCCTTCAACGTCATGCTGTCTTCAAAGTACAAAAGTTTACCGCTCTCGTGTAGGTACGAGAGCGCGCTTTGCAGGCGGTCCTCCGTCAGCCCAGCCTGAAGGCCAAACCGGGCCGAATCCCACCAGGAAAGCCATAAATCCTGTGGCTTAAAATGCAGTTCCTCAAGCATCTGCCATGACTTTGGCAGGACTCTGTGAAGATTGGGGAAAATCTCCCTGTGATCGGCGACAGACATGAGCTTCTCTTTCAAATGCTGGATGTTTCTATGAGCCACCATGCAGCTGACGCAAATCACCGGAGAGAGGATTTGTAGGCGATTGTTGAGCATATATTGCAACTGAGACTTTTTACGTCGCAAGTTTTTATCTGTGACCCCATAAAACAGAACATGGGGGCTAGAAGTCCGAACGTCGTAACCTTGCTCAAGGGCTTCGTCAACCTGAAGGGCAAGCACTTGTAGGCATTCAGTGTCCATTTTTTCCTGGAGCGAAATCTGTCTGTGAATATCCAGGCACTTTTCTTCAACCTCAACCTCTTCACATAATTCACTGTGGGTGCCTACAATGCACACAACTGCATGTGGCACCTTGGCACTGAGCAGGTGGAGGAAACCGCCAACATGGGAGTAGAAGCTCTTTGATGTATACAATTTCAGATTCACCACCAAAACATAAAGTGCTCCGGGAGACAGGAAAAAGGGTTTGATAAGATCATAGTTCTGCTTACCAGATAAATCATATACAATGAATGCAAGACTCCGATCTGCATCCGCTACCCAGTTCGTCACGTCAATACCCCTACATCCAATGGCCATCTTGGCATCTGACGGTTTGTTGACAATGCACTGCCTGAGTGTGGTTTTCCCTGCATTTTTCTGACCCATCAAAACCAGTTTAAGCCTGGGTTTTACAGCAGGTTGGGAATGTGCAAGCTCCTTCTGATAGGCAGCTATGTAGGGGATCCCCTTCATGCACACTTCATACGGAGGCTGAATGAGAGGATTATCCTTCACCTTCCAGATGTTGACTTTGGCAAGTTTTCCAAAATTGTCTGGGAGGATGGCGATTTGGTTACCCTGTAAAACCAGCTCCTCCAATTTCCCTAGCTCTACAATAGAGTCCGGGAGAAACTTTATACTATTATTGTCCAACCACAAATTAGCAAGATTGCACAGCTGTCCTACCTCCTCAGGGAGGAACGTCAGTTATTCCGGCTTAAATACAACTCCTCCAAACTGGTGAGTTTGATGATAACCTGAGGAAAATGTTCAAAGGAGTTTGAGGAGAGATTGAGCATTTTCAGTTTCTGCAGTTTCCCAAACGATTGCGGCAGGCTTGTGAGGAAATTATTATCAAGCATCAGGCTCTCCAAGTTCTGCAGCTCACAAAATGTTTCAGGCAAAAACGAGAGGTGAGTGCTGCTGAGCCACAAGATTTTAATAGATTGGAGCATCATGATGTTACCCGGAAGACCTTCTAGTTTATTCCCAGAGCAGTCAAGCTCCTCCAGATCAGAGAGGGCAAGTATTTCAGAAGGGAAACGCTGTAGCTTGTTATGATCCACATCGAGCGTTCTGAGCTTCCTGAGCTGTGAAAAGGACCTGGGGAAATCATGCAGCTCGTTGAAGCTGATGTCAAGCTCCTCCAGATTTTGCAAAGTGCCAATCTGAGATGGCAGGTATTGGATTTTGTTATGACTGATGCACAACTTTATAAGCCCCTTGAGAAGATCAATATCTTCTGAAAAGTGGTTCAAGCAGTTGTGACTGATATCTAATTCAACCAGCTGACTAAGTTGAAATACTGCAGTGGGAACTGTTGCAAACTTGTTCCTTCGAAGGATAAGGATGCGAAGCCTGGTTAGGGTTGAGCCCAGTCCCTCTGGAAGCTCTTGAAGGGAGTTGTTGCCCAGATTGAGGACCTCGATCTCCTTTATGTCCTCGGGTAATGTAATTTTCTGGCAGTTTTTGGTGCTGAGGGTCAGCTGTCTCAGATTGCTCCTCAGCTTCCTGGAGCGCAAAGCAGCATCCCTCCATAATCTAGCTGTCTTCAGGTTATTTTCCTCAGCCATCGTATCGAAGCCGTGCTTCTCCTTGTTCTCATTGAGCACAGTGATCAATCACTTAGGCAGCATAGTGCCGCTTTCACTTGCTTTATCGATTCGGGTTCTCCGCACAGCAATCCAGATGAAACCAACATTTAGACCATGCCGATTTCATCTTCATCCGAAAATATGTAGTTCCATTCAATCGCATTCAGGAAAATAGGGCTGGGCTGTGTTCTTTCACGCATCCTCTTTATCTGCGCCATCGACCGCAGGATAAAAACCACACGCGCGCATCAAAAGTCGCATCAGCCCAGCGCGTCCTTTGATACCACATGAGAGAAAAAATCTAATACATATCCAGTGAGTTAGAATGAAAGAAGGGCAGTGGTGGCTGCTGTAGTCTTTCCTTGTGTGTCTCCGCCTATTCTCTGCGCATGCAGCCAACAGTGAACGTTCACAGGAACAGCACTGCGTCAAAGCCCCACCTTCTCTCCGCGCGAGCAACGCAACGCTCGCATAAACAAAAGCCTTGATTGGTCAGTTAGGTGGTGACGAAGCACGCGTCGCGTATTAACAGCGGTATCGATAATAATAGCGTTTGTTAGTAGCGTCGCGTGCAGTGAAGGTGGTATGTGAAAGTAACTTCGTTTCTATTGTTTCAGTTTTACTAACAGTATGTAACATCCTGTAACATCATAAGACCGTGCGCCACCCAATGTAAATAATAGCTTTCTTCCAAAACATCACATGAAGACTGAATCCTGTTTGCCTACGATATGAAAGGGACTTTAGTCTTTGTACAACCTGGAAATAAATACAAATTACAAAAGTTAAACACAAACCAAATTCATGCCAATTAGTCCGCCTGTCTCCTTGTTGACTTTATTGATGATGGTGGGCTTTGTGTTGCTTACGATTATTTAGAAGTGTTATTTGACGCCATCTGCTGGACATCTGCCATCTGATATCTAATCAGATCAACAGAAATATTAAGAGAAATTGCATAATTACATGCACTAATAAAACATTTTACAACATCAGTACATTAGAATGATCATGACTGTATGTTAACATATCATACTTGATTGACTATCTCTATTATTGCATGGCCTTGGAAAATTAGATATGGTGGCCAGCAACAGAGTGAACTTTGTGTTGACAAGTCCTGTTGCATAACCAAAACATATCTTAACTTTGCATAGACTATGGAGCAAAGAACCCAGTAAGAGTTTAACTAAAAAAAATGTAGTACACTTGAAAATCAGATCTCGAGCAAATAGGAATAGCATATAAAATTATATATCTCTAAAAATAATATTGTACAGTGGCATCATAACAAAAAATTTTATTGACAGAAGAATACAAATTAAGTTTTTCATTGGAAGTGCAACATGAATTAAGAAAAGCAATGCAATGCAGTATTGCAAGTATTAATTGCCCATCAGTTAGGCTTGAAAAAAGCCTTTTACTTGAAACTACTGTTTCAGTTTATCAGGAGCAAGTTTCAAAATACAGTACATAAACTCAATTTTTAGTAAAAGTGAAAGCACAGCCTCACCCCACTGATCTGCTATGGTGTAAACTTTTGCAGAAAAGAACCCGTACATATTTCTGGAACAATTTTAAGAAAACCAACATTAGTTAGTCTCCTTTATCTTACATTCACATGAAGATAGGTTCTCATATTTGTACAGATTAAGCAATGTTATTTTTGTGAAAGAGTCTTTAAATGATCTTTTCAGTCTCTTTTCTTGGGGGTTTGAGGTGCTGGGGCTCCTTCAATAGGGGCAGAGATAGGCACGCTCCGTGGTTCTCCTGAATGCAAGCACTCGTTCACCCGCAGCTGACTGCCGTCCTTCAGCATGTGGATGGCAATTCTGGCAATGTTGCGGGAGTCATCTAGACCACAGTGGGGACGTCCATCATACTGCATACCAAGATTCTCCAGCATGCAGATTAGTTTCGTCTGAGTACGAGGAACCTGTGAGAAACAAGCACGAGAAACACGAAAACATCAGTATTTGTTCAAATGTAATAAAATATCAGATACTCATCTTTAAAGTATCCTAAGCCATTTGTACTATTTAGATACCAAGATCCTTTATTTACATCCAAACACAATTTTTTCATTCAGATTTTCTTTCTGTGACTTCATAAGGAATCATAAGAAAAATGAACATAAAAACAAACCTTATAAAAGTTTCTATAAGACTTTCTGATATTGATCCATTTTCTGGCGAACTGTGGGTATCTGATGCTACTCAGTTTACACTGGGTATGAAGAAATTTTCCCATATCCCATGACCTACACAGACAAGATAGTGAGCTGTACATTGTATTGAATTTCATTAGATTCATGCTTAAAATGTCTGGTTAATCCTTACCCATCTGTCAAAAATGTATATTTGTACTTTGTGCCAAGTTCTTTTTCCTGTAGCCAAGAAACTGCTCGCTTTAGAACCTGATGGAAAGTTTCTGCCTCATCCACCATTTTCTAGAAAAAAGAAAAAATATTGAGAATTAAAAATGAAAGCTTGAGCAATTGCTTTCCATTTAATTTTAGACTAAAAACACAGATGGCACATGAAAAGCACTACCATTCAAAGGTTTGGGGTCAGTCATTTTTGTAATTATTTTTTTTATTAGAAGGCTCTTTATGCTCACTGAGGTTGCATTTATTTGATCAAATATAGTAATAAATAAACAATATTTAAAAAAGCGCTGAAATGTGAATTACTATAAGAATTTAATTTTTTTTTTTTTGGAATACATTTTAAAATGTAATGTCTTCCTATGATGGCAAAGCTACATTTTAAGCAGGCATTACTTCAGTCTTCAGTGTCACATGAGCCTTCAGAAATCATTTAAAGTTCAAAAGAATAGCTTTTATTTGAAAAATAAACTTTTTCAAAAAATCTTAAAAAAAAAAAAATTACATCTTCAAACTTTTGGCTGGTATTGAAGATTAAAATTGTTATTTAATTCAATATGCAGTTCATAAATCTTGCCTGTGTGATTCCGGTAAGTTTTACACAAAACTCAGAGAGCTGTGGGTTCACCACTGGCTTCACATACTCCTGAAACGAGTCTACCTGTAATGACAGGAATGGGATTACAAACGAAATACGAATGGAAAAAAAAGGTGTTACATGTAAGTAAGTGTTAAGATCAGTTCATGGGCTTAACAATCACTGTGGCTTTGCTAAAATCTATAATGATTCATTTTGGCACAAATTAAAATCATTTTTTCACAACTAGCAGATCAATCCTAAAACAGTTAATATTAGGGATGTAACGATTCACTCAACTCACGATTCGATTTGATTCACGATTTTGATTTCACGATTCCATTCATGATTTTTGTTTAACAAAATTAGATTTAAGTCAAATTATAAATTAAATGTGTCCTTTTATTATTGATTGGACAAAATGCTGCACGTTTCTTTGTGAAATTGAAATATAACACTATAATAATATACTAATATAGCACTTATAGCATATAATTACTCTTTTGTTGGTTCTGATTGCTTCTATTGTCCTCATTTGTAAGTCGTTTTGGATAAAAGCGTTTGCTAAATGACTAAATGGAAATATAATGTAAATGTAAATAACAAAACTAAATAGAAATTTTAAAACAAGCCCCAAATCAAATAAATAAGTAACACAAATAAAAGAAATCTCTTCATATAAACAAACTAAGGCTTTGTCTGCTCTTTCCATTTAAAAGGAGGCAAAAACGGCATTTTAATCATGATCCAAACAAAGATGCTGCATACATGCAACATGAGCAGTTTTTAATCTAAATTAGATTGTATTATCTCGAAATTTGAAGCAAAAACAGAATGGTTTGACTTCAGTTTTGTGAAACTATGCATAAAAAATATCTGCATGAAACAGAAACCGCAGACGAGCTGAATGAGACGCAGATTCACTCTCTGCCAGCAGGTGGCGCTTAAAGCGTTTCCTTGGTTTCTGCTGTAAACAAAGGGCTGCACTTATGAACAGCAATGATACAGTGTTTCGCTGCACTTATGAAAGTTAATATGCATTATACAGAGGCAAGAGGAAACGAAAAAATACCATCTAAACTTTTCTAAAGACAGTAAGTTCCCCTCAGACATACATTCATATAAACTCCTACCTCTAAATGAATCGTGATTTGTTTAGCATCTCAAACGATTTGAATCGTCGCATATTTGAATCGATTTTCAACCGGCTCACGGTTAATCGTTACATCCCTAGTTAACACTAAATATACTGTATGGCACCATGTTTGCCTGGGAAGAATCAAGCACACATGTTCCAGACTGTTCCCTCAGCAACTCACAATCTCCAAGGTGTGTATGTCGATCAACACCATGGGAAACTCAATGATTTCATGCAGGTAGTCAGGTGGGTTATTCTCTTCACATGTTGCTTCAAAATCCACCACACAGATGTAGTCAAAATATGTATCAGTGTTCCCATTTGCAGCAGCTGAATGCATCAGTTTTTGCTTTTTGTAGTAACTTTTTAGGCGCTTCCTCAGGACATCCTTAACTCCCCTGAAAAGAAACAAACTGTATGAGTGAATTTGGAGTACAAGGCAGGTAAAACAAATGTAAAAAAAACAAAAACAATAAAAGCTCTCTACCGCGTGTCAAGCTTCAGCTCAGCACATTTCACACGCAGCTCATCTCTGTTCATTCGGTTGATGGTGCCATTTGCCACTGCGATCTCTTTATATACCGGATCACTGAAATCTCCTTGTTTCGGTGATGAAGGCTTCTGCTGCTCATTTTTTTCACAGGAAGTCTAAATGTGAAACAAGGAAATAACATTTTTTTTAGTGTTAGTGTTGTTTCATCCTTATGTGTTTATGCATTTGTTTCTTAATCAGAACAGATTTGGAGAAATTTAACATTACATCTCTTGCTCACCAATGGACCCTCTGCAGTGAATGGGTGCCGTCAGAACGAGAGTTCAAACATTTGATAAAAACTTCACAAAAATCCACAACTCCAGTCCATCAATTAATGCCTTGTGAAGTGATATGCTTTGTTTCTAATGAATAAATTCATCATTAAGATGTTTTTGACTTCAAATAAGTCCTCTATCCACAATATCACTTTCTCCAGTGAAAATGTCATCTCTTCTGAAGCAGGAGAGAAATATACTGTACACAGATCAAGCACAGTTTACAACTGAAAACAGTCCAAGAACAGTGCTAAACAAATATGTCAGTAGGCTTTTTCACTGGAGGAAGCAATACAATGGACTGTGAAGCGACGACATGAAGTTAAAAACATCTTAATGATGGATTTGTTTATATCAAACAACAGCTTTTCACTTCGCAAGACATTAAATGATGGACTGGAGCTGTGTGGATTAGTACTTGTGTATTATTATGATATTTTTATCAGCAGTTTGAACTCCTATTCTGATGGCACCCATTCACTGCAGAGGATTCACTGGTGAGCATTAAACGTATTTATATTTTTAATGATGACCAGAGGGTTAAAAAATTTAAGTACATTTACATTTTGGGTGAATCACTCTAAAACAGTTAAAAGCAACTAAATAATACATATTTCTACTAAATAGGAGTCAAAACAACACCTAACATAAGCTGACACTCTGCGAAGTATTACAGCAATCATACGTGGGAGAAATCTAACATGAAACAGCTTGTTAAAATCACATGACACGGTCACTGGTTACCAATAACAAGACTTGTAACTAAATTAATCATTTACCAAATAAGTATTTGACCTGTAATATAAATGATGGTGACTGTAACGCTCACACAAACGTTAAATATTAGGAATGCATTATTTTGCCAGAGCTATAACTTACTCTGGCAATATTAGACACTCACATTAGCGCAGCATTCCTCCTCTTCATCATTCTCAGACGCTGAAGTCTTATTTGCAGATTGACTGGTCTTCTTCTGCGACTCCATCAGTTTTGATAATTCAGTTAATTTCAGAAACACGTAGCCTACGTTACATCTGGTTTGGCGCGTTCACGCTCGGTGTGTCTTACGTAATCCGCTCCGGGCGAATGATAACAACCCTAATGATTGTCTATATTTCTCAAGTTTCTTTTTTTGTACATTGTACTTAAAATTAGCCCGTTTGCAAAGAATTGAACTTCTGATTAGCTGCCGTTTCTTAAACGTGAACCAAGTAACAGACGCTGGCCCTGACGCTTCAACGTACACAGGAAGTCGTCATTAAAAGGTCGAACAATTGTAGAATAAAAGCCCCATCAAATTTATTTCTTTTTACTTCGTTTTGTTACAAGTTTATTCGTGGTTATATTGTTCATGTACTCGTTGTTACATAAAAATAAATCCCCCTTCAGATAATCCCAAATTAAATATCCTCTCAAAGTGTGTAACATTCTCCTATCTGAGGTTAATCAATCTGCAGAGACAACTATACACCAAGTAGTAACACTTGCAATATAAAAAAGGGGGAAAAAAACACTTGCAATATTATGCCAAAAAAAAACAACAACACACAATTCTCCTTGGTGTTGCTAGTTACGTAATTATATGTCATCTTTAAATGAGGACAAGTCAGGTAAGCATTTTTTGCACCAATACTTTATTTGAAGGTTTCAATGACAAAGAACATTTAAAACATTGCATTAAAATGCAGATAATGAACATACCTAATACCATTGAGAGAACTTTTTTTAACAATGTCTTTAAAGTGGTTCTGGCAAACCCGTATTCACACTCAAACAATGCAATTTAAAATGGGTGACAAGAAGTTAAACAACAAATTAAAGTGCCTACATTACCTTGAACAAATTATACACATTACATATGAACTTGTATCACTAATATCATCATCCTGTTGTGCAGTCAATCACAGCGAGAATCAGTCATAGTCAATTAAAATAAAGAAATGTAAATACTTTTAGAGTTTTACATTAAAAATGAGCTGTTCAGGAAAGAACAAAAACATATGAAAGAATTCATATACATATATCCAGGCTGAGTACAACTCTGGTCTCACATTTTTTGGGGAAAAACACCCGAGTTCTTTTTGGGTCATTCTGTCTTTGCTCTTAGCAAGGTTTTTCAGATGAAAACCATTTGCTGCCCTCAAGAAAGAGCTTAATTTTAGTCAATTTTATGATCATGATTTACAGTTTAGCAAATATACTGGCCTGCAGATTTACTTAGACTTAATTCATTAACATTGTATAATTTTATAAAGGTCCACGCAAATCCATACAAACTGAAAATCAACCTCGAAAACTTTCACATAACCCTGCACAGAAACTAGCATTAATGCATTTGACAGGCACTGAAAAAAAAAAATAAATAAATCAATTTACCCTCATAATTACATTCATATAGCACCATAAACACTATTTTTAAAAACATAACTCATTCTCTATTGAACAACATAATCCAATATTATTGACGATAGACATCTCAAGTGTCCATATGGCTTCACAGTCCAACAGGTCCTTGGTCAAAGAACAGCGTGTTTTTTTAAGGAGACATTTATCACAATGTTTGATGGATATGTGTGCAGGATAAACTGTCCCAAAAGTGGATTCTTAGTAATATGGACCGATGTCTTCATATCCAGCATAGCTTGGCCAATTGGGAAAGAGCCCACGTGAGCATCTAGGGCTGCCGTATCGGTCAAAAAGAACGTCCCAATCGCTCACACCATATCGCTGATAGTCAACCATAGAGTCATTTGAACTCTTCTTTAGTGCTGATTGAACAATTCTGTAATTCTGTCCTTGGTTGTTGTCCCAGAGCGTTACGCCATTGACCTCATAGCAAATGGCAAACTCTATGCGTTCATGTAGAGGCACCTGATCAGGCAAAGTAGCTTCGAATGAAAAGGTGTCACGGTTTGAGCCGGTGTAAGTGTCCTTTACGTACTGGCATTCTATGTCTGTGTGACTTTTCCAAGTGTCAAACGTAATGCGAAGCTTAACGGACTTCTCAAAGGAAAGGTTTTTGACTTTGACCGTCCCTGCTATAGATTTTTCCTTAAGCATGCAGTGTTCGAGGCAGAGGTTTTCATTCTCTATACGTTGACGAAACTTTAAGTAATCTGCAGATGGCTGGTCAAAGTCGAGGGTTAGCTTGTCCTTCCCTTCTGGCAGAGTCACCAAAGAGCTAAAAAACTGCACAATGTTGGTTGGGATGTCAATAGGGTCATCAAATTCAGAAAAGACCTTTACCATCGCTCGTCGCACTTCCCAGCAGCAACAACAACAAAACTTATCCTCCCCATTAAGACCCGACCCCAGTCCCCTCACTCCTCCAGAGTCCCCCACAGACACCGGCGGCTCTGCGGCTGGCGAGAGGCCGGAAAGCATCGGGGATCCGGAGATCGCTGCTGAAGTCCCCGCTCCGCTCCTCAGCACCAGAAGCAGCAGCTCCAGCTCGAGCAGCGCTAGTTCGTCTACCACCGGCGGGGGCAGTAGTGCGGGCTCCACTCCCGACTCCGGTAGTGCCAGTCCTGGAGGCAGCGTCTGCGGGACGAGTGGGGCTTTCAGAGAACTGTTTGAGGCCTGCAGGAATGGGGACGTGTCTCGGGTGAAGAGGCTGGTGGATTCGGTCAATGTAAACGCACAGGACATGGCCGGGCGCAAGTCCACCCCGCTTCACTTCGCTGCAGGTAAATACAAATATACGTTATATGTTTGCGATCAGTCTAGACCTGGAAAGCATCCAGGTAACTGTTAGACGGTTTAGGCCGCTAAATAAACAGTAAGATGGGGCTCAAGAGGGGTTTAAAGGAAACGGGGACAAAGGGAATAAAGTAGAGTTTGGCCAAGTTGGCCAACAGGACAATCATGCAACATCTAGGTTAGTAGAAAGTTAACCACTCCGCGAGCTATATTGGTCTGCTCGTGTTTGTTTTCGTTTGATGCGTTGCCGAAAGTGAATAAAGTTCGACATACAGACTGAATGAACCGCAGTGCACCGGGAGATGATCGATAAAAGTAATAAACATTGTATTAAAGTTGCACTTTGTCCTCGAATGTTCAAAATTAGTGTTTAAGTTACTTTGGTTCGCGCACTTCTACGATAAACTGAAACCGGACCATCGCATGCTACTTGTGATCCTCCACAGCTGTCAAAACACTTAATAAACAACATTAATGTAGTAAATGTCGTGTTTGGTGCTGAAGAAAAATTCTTACAATATTTCAATTGTACAATACTGTACAATTCGTCACAATATTATATCCAGTGTTGGGAAGGTTACTTTGGAAATAGGTTACAGATTATAAGTTACCCTATTTAAAAAGTAGTATAACTATTTCATTTACTTTATTAATGTAACTGATTACTTTTTGATTACTTTTCTAAATTTGATAAAGCAGGCAGGGTTAACCTAACAGTAGTACTCAACACTGACAACTGTCAGACTTTTAAAATCCTTCTTGACTTAAATAAAGATTATAATAATTTAATTTTGAAGCACAGCCACCACAAAATCAGACTTTAGCACCTCTTTTTACTTTGAGATCGTTCTGCGGTTAAATACAGATTTAAAATCACAAGATATATAGTTTAATAACTATGATACTGTTTTTGAAATCAAATCTTTGCATAGACAGGAAACACTGGCATCTAACAATGCTTTGGAAAAAACTATTAATCTTAAAAAATAAAGCATATACATAAACCCAAATAGAAAATAAAACAGTTATCAAATAAGCATGTGTCCTATTCTGTGTTCTAAATTCCTGAAACATTGTTGTCTCATAATTTAAAGCAGCCAATGCAATTTGGCAAAGAAAGCAATCAAATCTGTATGTGTGAAAATATTCAGATGTAACCATCTTTGTAATCGTTAACATTTTCATAAGCAACTGTAATTGAAAGGGTTAGTTCACCCCAAAATGAAAATTCTGTCATCAATTACTCACCCTCATGTCGTTCCAAACCCGTAAGACCTTCGTTCATCTTCGGAACATGAATTAAGATATTTTTGATGGAATCTGAGAGCTGTCAGACCCTGCATAGACAGCAACACAACTGTAATGTTCCCAGGTCCAGAAAAGTAGTAAGGACATCAGTAAATCCGTCCATGTGACATCAGTGGCTCAACTTCAGTTTTGCGAAGCTACGGGAATACTTTTTGAGCTCAAAGAAAACAAAAATAACATAATTTATTTAACAATTCTTTTCCCCGAGTTACGTCTTCCGTCATCTTGGAGAGTACCCAAGAGTGTAATCCGAGTAATCAGGGTTGTTTACGTTCAGGGGAGAAAGCGCGTGCATGAATGTAATTTGCGTAATCAGCGTTGTTTACATTCGAGGGGAAAAGCACGCGCTTGAACATAATCGTTGTAATCAGCGTTGTTTGCGCTTAGGGGAAAGCGTGCGTATGCATTGTGATTAGGGTTGGGTACCGAACTCGGTACTTTTAAGGGTACCCACCGAGCCATATGGTTTCTGAGAAAACGCGGACGGGATCGTGATGGCCATTCATAAAAACGTAATTTACTCAATAGTGCAGAATGCCACAGAATTCGTCAATTTTGGACGAATAAATCAAAAGTAGCCACTGCCACTTAATTCGATTCACGATGAAAACATCATACTGTATACACACAGAAACTTCATGGCCACCTCTCAAAATAAAAGTACGGTTTAACATGTAACAGAAATATATTACTCTTGTATTACTTTTGTACAGTATAATGTACA